TATCCCTCTTTACCTTCTTAGACTTGCCCCTCCTTGTTTTCTCGGGACTGGTAGTACGCCTGGTGTCTGTCTGATCTTTCCGCATGTCATCAGCTGCCAAAGCTTTGGCATCTTGAATCAACTTCTTCAGGGTGGACAACCAGCCTGCGGCCTCACTTGATTTCTCATGAACTTCCACCTCATTCATGATGGACCTGGCAAAATTCAATGGAAACAGGGAAGACATTCATGGAAACTAGGGCTTTCAGTAAAGAAGGTGCCAGTCCAGGAGGTATGTGAGTGTAAGAAATTCTTGACCTGCAGGCCCTTCCCCCAGCCGGCCTGCGCAAGGAAACCAGAGAAGAGTGCTGGCTAATGACCGACATGTTGTCCATGTTGCCAACTGACCAGGGGCCGTAGAGGCAAGGCAACACCTCCAAGGATTTGTCCCTCTACTTACCCATATGGCCCATAGTTCACATCTCTTCAGATGATAACTCGAAATATGTACTCATGGCTTGGAGGTTTTCAACCACACTTGCTAGGTCAAATTGCAAACCATGGAATGCAAATGAGCTATTGCAAAATAACGATTTGCACATGTACTTGTTCATGAACAAGCCTTGCTTCAGAATTGATACCAATCTGTCTCTCCACCGCTTCTCCGACCATCCCATGCGTTTCGAAACTTCAACACGAATCTCCAGACCACGGTGGGAACCATCTTCCTGACGTTTCTGCAAGCTCAGTGCTCTGCGGTGCACCTCCAGCAGCTCACCGCCCATGGAGAAAAGAGTCTGGCTTGTCAACGTATCATGGACCTGAAGTATGATAGCCAGCTGCTCAACTTTGAGGTCTGAAATCCTGGAGCAAGCCTTGCCAAGTTGCAAAGCTTTCGCTTTCCTGGATTTTATCTGGTGAGCAAGGGAGTGGAGGAAAGAAGTCTATGGACAGGAAAATACAACGGTCAACAGGAGAAATCTAATCATAGCTTTATGTCGTATTTTTGGAATTACAGAGTTACTTGGTGGAAATCTCGAAATCATAATGCAAAGTGGCACCTAGAGTCAAACCAAACGTGGACGCAACTGCAAGGGTCTTCTTCCTATCCTCTGGGTCTTCCGCGATTTCTTCTCGGGAGGAGCTAGAGGAAGATGACCTTTTCTTTCCCTTTCTCTTCCTTTCTTTCTTGTCCTTTTTCCTAGAGGACTTGGCCATAGCTAGACCCCCTACAGTAAGAATGTAGAAGGCAAGCAGGCACAGGCTACTTTCCCAGAGCCTAGAAGCGCCGAAGCTAATGCAATGAAGCAGAAAGACTAACATCTAAGACCAACAGGAAATTGTGGTATGAATGCTAAACCTCTGGAAAGCAACCTTCTCCTGTCAGGAAGACATCGATGACATATGTGACATAAGTAGTGCAATGCAAAATTCACCCTTTGAGCACGATATCGGAATTTCACTTTGAGACGCAGTAAATGCCGGCATCTCATGTCTGAATTTTGGGAATAGCATCCAGAAGTCAGCGTGGACCTGGACCAAGCGTCAATGAATTAAAGACATCTATTTGTAAACCATGTTGCCACCAGCAGCAAGGCCACTCAAAACATCCAATGGCTTCCCCACAGGTCACTGCAGGAACTGGCATGCGCATCCTGCAGAGAAATGCATTCAGATTGGTATCAAACAGAAGCAAATGCAATTCGAACCCATACCATTATCTGAGATGCGAAGCAACTCAGCCATCAACAAAGTCTCTTATAAGCAACCAGTGTTCTCAATGTGAGGCTGGCCGCAATGCTCAAACAAAGATTGCCACAAACAAAGCTGGACCAAGTACAGCGACAAACCTGCAGAACCTGTGAAAGAGATGCAAATCTGCAGGGAGCTACAATTCTTGAAGCTTGTAAGTATCTTGCTGTCGACAGATTTAAAATAGACCACACCTGACCCCTCCAGGCTGTCCCCTCCAGGTCATGTCCTGCTGGCCAGCCCCGGCTGGAAAGTTGCCCGCATCCTAGGCAAGAGGCTCTGTCCTGGCAAGGCAACATGTGGGAAAGTCAGGGTTTGAATTTGTAAAGCAAGGAAAGCCTACTTTTAGTTGTCCGTCACTAGTTCTAGTATCATCAGAAGCTGCTACTTACTGAAACCACACAGAGACAAAATACATGACACATACAAACTACATACCAGCTCGAAAACAAGAAACTTGGAGACACTTTGAAAGGACCAACGCTCCACTCGCATTTTTTTCCATGCAGGTCAAAGCTGCTAGCTACCACTGCGGGTCGGGTAATTAAATTTGCATTTGAATTGTTCCTTCAAATTTTCTCTAGGCAATTAGTACGAATTCTTCCAAGTCATTGGCATCGTCAGTGCTGTTCAAGAATTGGTCAGAGGCAGATGCCAAAGTCTCATCCTTCGGTTTTTCACATTGATCTTCGTCACGATCAAGAACACGGAAAAACGTATAACCTCTCCACCGGGTGTTCAAGGTCTCAACTTCAGGCTTCACATCGGAGAACTGGTCAATGAAGATAGAACGTTCCATCATTGATGTAGCCACAGTCTTCCCCGTCCTTTGGCATTCCGGAAAGGCAACAGTAATCCGTTGCAGGGAAAGGCGGGACACATCCTTCAAAGGGAAACTTCTGTGAATAGGATGGAATCCCTTCTTGCGAGGCTTCTTGTGTGTTCGATAGATCCAGCGGCAGTCGCTGGTGGTAATCCACTTGTCATCCCCCACAGGTGGGGCAAAAAAGGCAGGATCTTCCCATGGCTGGTCTCGCAAAATCTTTTTGTCGTCTATTTTAGGCATGGCCATGCACACAAGCTTGTACCTCTTGAGAAAACAAACTTGCAGAAACACCTCTGGAGGTAGACGAGGCAGTCTCAAAGTTGTATCTGCTTTGCTGCACATGGTCGACTATGGCCCGGAGCTTTGACAAAAAAAAATGATCTTTGTGAAAAAAACGGTGGCTCCACCAATATAATGACATTTGGCCCGCCCCCAAATGTCCTTGCAGGCAGAGGAGACACCGCTGCACGCACAGGGCTCGAAATGAAGAGACCTGGCAACAGGACCAAATTGAGATGTTGACATACCCGTCCTCCTGGTCAGTTACATGTCTGACATGTGCAAGGATAGTTGGCCCATACAGGGCCCACTGGCTACAACAAGCACTGTCCCAGACCAGCATGACTCAAACAACCAAAACGCATCCCTAAAAGCCATTCACCCCAAACCTGCAGGGGAGTTCTATCATGTTGTTTCTGACTTTGGGGTGGAAGCTTCAAACGGATAGAGATTCATAATTGTAAATGCCAATGACCCTTGAAATTCATTCTTTACCATGATAAATATGAAGTAGGTTTTGTTTACTTTCATGCCGTTGTCAAATTAAAAAAATATATCGGGGTTCAGAACCAACAGATTCAGTATTATTCCCCACCTGCCAGGTGAGGGTTGTTAGATTTTATCAGAGCTGTTGTCCTCCTCCTCCTCCTCCGCCTCCTCCTCCAGTTTCTCCTCGATCATGTCTGCATCAACTTCCACCTCCACTTCCGCCTTGCCAACTCTTCGCCAAGCTCTTCGCCAACTTCCCAGCTCAGTGCGCACTGCTGGACCTCAACCTGGGACCTTCCCAGCTCAGTGCGCACCGCTGGACCTCAACCTGGGACCTTCCCAGCTCAGTGCGCACCGCTGGACCTCAACCTGGGACCTTCCCAGCTCAGTGCGCACGGCTGGACCTCAACCTGGGACCCTCCGAGCTCAGTGAGCACCGCTGGACCTCAACCTGGGACCCTCCGAGCTCAGTGAGCACCGCTGGACCTCAACCTGGGACCCTCCGAGCTCAGTGAGCACCGCTGGACCTCAACGGCCAGATAGAATGCCAGAAGATATGCCAGATAGAACGCCAGATAGAAGGTCAGAAAGATTGCCAGAAGATATGCCAGATAAAGTGCCAGATAGAATGCCAGAAGATATGCGACATAGAATGCCAGAAGGTATGCCAGATAGAATGTCAGATAGAATGCCAGACTGTATGCCAGATAAAGTGCCAGAATGTTTGCCAGATAGAACACCAGAAGATTTGCCAGATTGAATGCCAGATAGAATGTCAGAAGATATGCCAGAAGATATGCCAGAAGATATGCCAGATAGAGTGCCAGAAGATATGCCAGAACATATGCCAGAAGATATGCCAGGTAGAATGCCAGAAGATATGCCAGAAGATATGCCAGATAGAATGCCAGAAGATAAGACAGATAAAATGCCAGAAGATATGCCAGATAGAATGCCAGAAGGTATGCCAGATCAGATAGAATGTCAGATAGAATGCCAGACTGTATGCCAGATAAAGTGCCAGAATGTTTGCCAGAACATATGCCAGAAGGTTTGCCAGATAGAATGCCAGATAGAATGTTAGAAGATATGCCAGAAGAGATGCCAGATAGAGTCCAAGAAGATATGCCAGAACATATTGCAGAAGATATGCCAGGTAGAATGCCAGGAGATATGCCAGATAGAATGCCAGAAGATATGCCAGATAAAATGCCAGAAGATATGTCAAATAACATGCCAGAAGATTTGCCAGTAACAAAACATATAGATGTCATGGTGGGGATAACTCGAAGCAAAGTAATTTTGAAAGCTCACGACTCCACTAAAACCAATGGCCTTTCACTCATCGAGATCAATGCACTCCGCAATGGGCTTCAACACCTGCAGCACACGAGATTGGAGGGAGGAAAGCCAGGTAAAGACAGGAGATAGGCAATACTGACCCGTCAGACTCGTCGAACTCGTCAGTTTTTAGTTGAATCAAGCTCGAATAAATAGAAACTTAAAGATTAAAAACCCTTAGTCACAGTAAGAGTTTACACTTGAGGCACCTAAGATCCCTCAACTATTCCGTGCCTTGAAACGCTTGCCATTGGCTCGCTGTTCATGTCCATGCTGTTCACAAGATTGAACCGGGCTCCTGGAAAAGATACAGACATCAGCACTGTGATCAAGTTCATGGCAACTCTTCCTTAGACACGAACCAGTGAGACAATAAAGCCTGCATTGGAAAAACCATTGTCGCTTCACAAACAACACCACGCAGAAGTGAAACTAACAAGAAACATTGTGACATGTCTCTCCTGGAAGGAAAGAAAGTGGTAATCTTGAGGCTCTCTGCAGGTGCCTTGCTGGAAGAACTTGAAGCCTTGGTTGCCTTAGTTTTTTTCTTCACCTGGGAAAACGAGCAGCGCGGCTTTGCATTCCCTGTAGGAAAGAAGTTGTCAAACTTTCCTGTATCACGTTTCTCCTTCAACCATGCTCGACGTGTTTGAATAGGAATCGTGGCCAGGTTCTTCAGGTCATGCTCAATTCCAGGCCAACCTGGGTCCATATCAAAGCTCTTCTTCCCAGAGGCTTTCAGCCGAGCCTTAACTAAACACAAGGAAGCCCCAGAAAGCTTCCGAGACTGGATGGGACAACACCCCAAAAGACTAATCTACCTGTAGCCAAAACAGATATAATCCACAAGAAATGGACACAGAATTGCGCATCCCCAAATAGTTCCAGGTTGTCAACAAAACTGACAATTTACAGATTTCAAACCAAGTGCAATTGCTTCATCCGCTTCTTTCTTAGCTTCCTCCAGTGGCATGTAGTGAAAGGCTTTCAAAACAAGGGCCCCTTGTTTTGAAACAGGCTTGAGATCTCCGTCCTCTCCCATGTCAACCATCAACCGCATGGACTCGGCAAACCCCACGGCACATCCAAAACAGTCAGGGTAGACGCAACTGAAGGAGGTGTACTCGTTGCCTGTGATCCACCTCGAGGGGCCCAAGTAGGAAGTGATTCATGTATAAAATATAAATAGAAGCTGCCAGTTTCACCGATAATGAAAGTCTGCGAACAAAATACTTCAAAGTCATCAATCAACAGTTTAATTTGTTTCCACAATATTAGATAGACAACCATATATAATATATAGTACACACAGTTGCCTGGACATTGTGCAACAAACATTTGGGATGAATAGTATTTCTTCGTGAAAGACCATCTGCTAGCAACTAATGGTCAAAAGACATGTGGACCTAGAATTTAAACAGAGCAATTCGACTGAAATCTACATGGGGAAATGTCATGGAACCCCCAAGGCTTTGGTAATAACTCTTGGGCTCACTCAGGCCTCCCGGACGGTTGTGATGCCTTGGCAAGGTCAAGATCCTTTTGGGGCGGCAAAAGATCTTTCAAGGCACACTCGATCATCTTCAAGTGGGGAAGACCTGACCAGGTTCCTTGCAGAATCAGCTGCTTCGAGCAAATGGCCCCAAACGTGCTCAACTCAAGCACCTCCCTTGAGCACTTTGGACCCGAGAGAAAGGGAGCCAGCTTCGGCCAAGCAAAAAAAAGGCTCGAAAAAGGCTGTTCAATAACCCACTGCATCTCCAGGAACTCAACTAGGGGCAGCAACCAAACACTGACCAACTCAGCCACCGCATTCCCTGTCAGCACCGTCATGCACCCAGCGTAACCTGTCAGCACCTCACACATGGCAAAAATCTTGAACGCACGACTTCACAAGTAAGCTGTTCCAGTGATTGTCGAATGGTTGCAATCTTGTTTTACTTAGTTACTTGTTGAAGAAACCACTCTTGCGATTTGTTCTAATCAAAGTTGAGCTACAAGACCACGTAACGTAGTGCCACGAGAAAGATAGATCCATCCCCCGCAAGTCGGCATGATAAAGACCAGTGCTCCTAAGCAGGGGTACCCGACTCCCGATTCTATACAGACGTGTGGAAGAGGTTGAGACTTAGTTAAGTTCCTTGCCATTTCCTGATCATGGTAAAGCCCTACGTGTAGTTATTTATCGATGTACCCCTTAGGATGGCACCAAAAGCATCCTACATACATATAAACGAAACGAACCCAAACCCACCATCAAAGACTAGCACGATTGTAAAGATACATCTGGCACTATAAGCCCACCTGAAACCATCAAGATGCAGAAACACAACCTTAAATGCGATAATGGTGTAGAGTGTCATGTTTTCAAACCCATTGTTTTCACTAAGCCCCCAAAAACAAACATAGCGCTTTGTGGGAGGCCCATCACAACACATGTTTATGCACTTATGAAAAGAGAGAGAAGAATGTGTCTAAAGAAAGCAAATGGAAAGGAAGAGAAAAGGCAAAGGAAAGAGGATAAAAGGAAGAGAAGAGGAAGGGGTAAGGAAGAGAGAGAATGGAAAAGAGGAAAGGAACAAGAGAAAAAAGGAAAGGGAAAGGAAAGGAGGAAAAAGGAACAAGGAAAGAAAGAGAAAAGAGAAAGGAAAAGAAAGGGGAAACCCAGAGACAAGAAAGAGGAAAGAACGAGGAAAGTAAAAGGAAAGACAAAGACAAGAAAAAGAAAAGACAGAGAAAAGAAGAGGAAATAAAGAGAACAGAAAGAGGAAATGAAGAGGAAGCAGCTTCTCGCAATCCCAAGGAGGACAGGTGGAGGAGAGGTCTGAGGGTATATGGTCTATCAGTAGTTTGGGGTTATCTTTGAACAACTTTTTTGGCTATGGTACCGCCAGGGGCATCGCATATATAGCCTCTTGCATGCATGCATATTTGCATATAAACCAGTGTTACGAAGTGGAGATTACGCACCATTTTTTCACAATGGGGACTAGCCTATCGCTACACACTGCTTCAGTCGAAAAACACTCCAGCAGCAGTGATTCATTTTGCTCCTGGAAATTGAAGTGTGACCCCTCAAGAGGTCAGCCCCTAATAAAATATTGCCAAAGATCTTGTTGACCCTCATGAATCCTTACTAGCTACTGGCAGTAAAACCCGATGTTATCGGTGGGGTGGCCTTTGGGGAAAACCATGGAATTTCCACATAGGTGGATTATGATTTGCAAAAACGTAATCCTCGTCTTGCAGCGCCCAAAGTTCGAGCCAGCAATTCCAAGCCTTTCCTGGTGTGAATGTTCTGCTCTTCTGAGTTTCCTTGCAGGAAACAAATTGGATGGCAGGAAATCTCCAATCCTGAAAATATCTTACTTCTGAAAAAGCAGTAATCAACTATAGCCTGTGGAAATTCCACAAAATTGAAATTGCTTGGCAATGCCAAGCCACTGACATCAAAAGATGGAGCTGGTTCAAATCCAGCATTTTCAAATCCTCTCACCAAAGCCCCCGAGGCTCCGAACACTTCAACTAGGTCGAACTGGGACCACGTGTCCCTTCGCACACCCTGGGCGATTTGCTTGGCCTCTTCCAAGCTCATCGCTGGGGGTCGAATCACGGGGGGAAGCTTCAGCATGCTTCTATATCTTTTGGGCCAAACTTTCCTGAAACTTAACCCATGAGAACGATCAATGTATGAACATGCGTTTTTCCCGTGGGAATGCGTATTCACAGCTTAGAATAACTATCAGGAAACAGGCCCTCTTAAATGTGGTAAACTGAACTAATGACAATTGGGCAAGAGTTATTTCTAGGACAACCTTATCCATTTGGCCAGTTTTATGGAACATCCACCCGCAGGGTTAGCTACAAGGTGGAAGATTAAGGGTTGAAAGCTTGGGTAGTGTGCTGATGGCAACCATTATGGTTGGAGCAGAGAAAATATATCTTTCCCCGGGACGTGCGAATCAGCCTAACTACCCAGCATTAGCTGGCATCTGAGCATGGACAGGGAAGTGTCATCCATTCGTTTTTACTATGAGATGCTTCATTCGAAAAAGTACCAATTTAAGAGGCAAGTAGCGCTGAAAGGCCGTGTTACCCAGCGTGAGCTACTGCACCTAACCATTGGTACGGCACTTGAATAAAAAGGCCCGACGCAAATAAGACTCCAATAACTAACCAAGAAGCTTGTAATTGTGCAGTGGACTACAATGCGCAGGTAGATCGGAGGGTCAGAGAATGTGGCATGGTACAGGACTTTTACCTACGGACAAACAGAAAAAGAGATTCAAAGACAGCTAAGGATTGCAGCCTTAGTAACTCGATGCGGGTCACTGAAAACTTTTTCCATTACTTTTTCCATTACCCAAGGTACCCTTGGGAACAGAAAGGGTCGCATGGCAGTTGCATGGTGATGGTCTCACCGCTAGTCCATCCTCTCAGGGTAACCTGTTGCGCGCTCTGCTGCACGATGCCTGTGTTTGCTGAGGAGCTGGAGTACAGGGAGTATTTTTTTTTTTTCCACATCCCACCGTTTCCCCTGGGTGGGAAGTGGATTCCCTCTGGACGCCCAGAAAGAGGCAAACAGGAGGTCAAAACAGAGTGGAGCTTATACTGCGAAATGTACCTTTAGTCAACTGTGAGGTGGACATGGTCGTGTTGAGCAGTTACTGCAGCCTGGCAACCTAATAGCGTTTGCAGATTGATATTTAGGCTTAGCTGAGTCTCCGCGAGCGGCTGAAACCGGGTCCTGTCTGTAGGACCACTGAATCCCTTGGAAATGCCATATCATTAGTGGGCAGCAGGAAGTCGCCCATAATTTAGAGTCCTCCAGGTAAAAGCTGGTGCGCATGTGACACTTCGAGCTAGTTTGCTGAATTATGGAAAGGGGCTCCTATTATTCAAGGCAAGTGGTTCAGGATTACGATGTCCTCATGGGTCTTGTGCAGGTGGGGAGGGCTACCCAGGGTACCCTGGGAGCCCTCCCCCACTTGACCTGACCAGTGTTCATGAGGCATAAGAACTAAATGGGTAGGGGGTGGGTACAAATAAGGTAGTGAGCTGATGAGCGTTACTTGGCGGTCACAGGAGGTCTCAAACAGCAATAACTACGCTGCAGCAGCCTGAAGCTGCCTGGGCAGTGGCAGGCCGTTTGCCTTGGGGTTGGGTCACCTTCTGCAAGATCACGTCAACCTGGTGGGTTGTAGCTTTATACTTCTGGGTGACTATGATGGAGTAAATCCTGAAGCTCATTATTAGGGGTTGCATTAGTCCCTGATAGGTGAGCAACCGAGAAACAGTTGTTTTGTGGTCACCGAGGCAGCAACAGAGTCCGGGCGGACGTTTTAACTCCCTCCCGTCGAACGTTCGCGTCGAGCACGCAGTTTGGCAAGGGCTTCCAAGGGGGTGGCGTAGATGTGTGGCGATCCTTGAACATTGCGCTGTTTACGGTGGGAACGGTGGGGTGCTCGACGGGCGAGGGATAGGGCATGGCTACTGGCAGTATGCTTGAGGGTGTCTACGTATGCATTGTGCGCCGTGCGAAGAGAGGTGACTTTGAACCATGTCTGACCAAAGTAAAGCTGATGCTTGGACAGAACTTCCTGCTCGATCTGCCTTACCATTTGTTCAGGAGGCGGGGGAGCAACCAAGAAACCATCATCCAGCCATACCAAGGATTGTGTTGGGTGGCGAGCAATGAGTGCACGAATGGTGTCCTCGACAATTGTGGCTTCAAAGTACTCTAGCAATCGAAAGGCGCTGTCGTTATGGTTGACCAGGAACTCTGGGCGGAAACGCGGTAGCAACTGAGTAGTCAGGGTTGTACTCAAGGATCCTAGTTGGCAGAGGATTGCGCTTACACTCGCACTGGGGGAGTCATCAACCAGAGAGCTTAGATATCGGTATGTAGCATCAAGGGAGCTATTGATAATTCTCAGTGGAAGCTGCTTGATGGTGTCAGGGCAGATTGCTTCTACTTTCTGAATATAGGGGTCTCGGGCTAGCTGCGCGCGGAACTCATCGATGGTTGGGAGGGGTACTAAGTCGGGCGCAAACAGTAATCCCAGGCGTCGGACAAGTTCATAAAAAGATCCTTTGAGGTCAATTTCGCAGTGATTCCGCCCGAACAGTAGAAGCCTGGCAGCTCTCGGTAGTCGCTGGCCCCCTATGGTGCAGCAATATCTTCGTCCATGGTTGTCAGCAGCTTTGGGGGAATAGTCAATTTCAATACTGCAGTTTTGCGGTAGACACGGGGATAGGTAGGATTCAATCAGCTGGCGGTGATGGGGGTGGAGGGTCACGTGTTTTCGGAGAAGGCCGTGATCAATACTGGGCCTTTCTACTAGAGTAAGGATGGGCTGGCTCCAGGGTTGTTCAAAACTTTGAATGTGAAAGCCTCCGACCTGAAAGAGGCCCGTGGGGAATGATGGCTTGATGGACACCGGTCCAGCATTCCGATTGAAGGCAGCAGGGTTGCTCCTATATTTAGTCAACAGGAACTGAGTGGCTTGCCCTGCCAAGTCATCTGCTATGCCGTTGGCAACTCGAGGCAGGTATATGGAGAGACTACCAGGGAGATGCAGACTTACAGTTGAACGAATGCTTTCCCATGGTTGGTGCATATCTATCCTTCGGAGACGGCCTGCAAATTGAAAGTACTTAATGACAGGGAGAATGTCACCTTGGATGACTACCTTGGGCGTGAGGCCGCGGCTCGATAATCGCTGCTTAACGACAACAGCAACTTCTTCAACCAGATATAAACAGGCCATGATTTCTGCTTCTATATTGTCTGAACAATGCGGCAGGGCGACTGACCGACATGCAATAACGCGAGACCGACCACCTTCTATTACATAGATGACATATCCAGCTCCTCCTAAGGCATCTTCATGCATACAACTGCCATCGAATTGGCCTACGATCTGTATCGAGGGTTCGGATGGTGTATCGTCGGGAGGGATTGCTAAGATCAACTCATTAGGACTGATGGATTGAAGAGCGGTAACAGTACAGAAGGAATCAGGCGAGTTGGGGCAGGCTGGGACAATCTTGGCATTAGGGCGGAATCCTGCGACCCGGGCTCTAGCTGGGGCAATGAGGCTAAGCCATGGATGTCCGAGTGGGAGCACTGCGATGGGCTGATCCGGGGCAATGGATGTAAGAGCTGTGCAAACCAGATCAAGAAGTGCTGCAGAGTGAAGAGTAACTGCTTCATTGGCAGCAGTCTGCATGTGGCAGGGGTGGTTCTGGTTGTTTGTGCCTACATGCTGGGGTCTTACCGGCGACATAGGCTCCGGAAGGAAGCGAGTTGGTATCGCTTGCAGAGCATTGTCGTGCAGGCGGGTTAACCATTCAGGGACACTTAGGGGGACTGAGGACGGTGCATGTTGCATGCCTCCATGCTCAAGCAAGAGTCGGCGGAACTGATGCAGAATGTGGCTCGCGATCACGCATCCAGCTGTGTTGACTCGGGCTAGTTGATCCAAAGATTTCACTGGATTGGGGGAAGGTGACAAGATGTTGGCAACTAGGACAGGCACTATGCAGAAACGAGCCCAATGTTGAGAGGAATTGTCTCCATGTCCGCATGCTACGCAGGGGGCGAGATCTCGTGCACGGTCACGCCATGAGGCAGGAATAGGAAAGGATCCCCGAGCAGATTCCGCGATGGCATGCCAGGGGGATGTGGTCGGGATCCCCCATCTCTCACTACTGTACAGAGTGGTAGCATTAATATCATGGTCATGACAGCATTTTTCACAGGCTGGGGCGGAATTAAGTCCGAGTGGGTATAGACGGGTGGGAATTCCACAGAGTTGGCATGGCTGCTCAGCCTGCAGCGAGCCTGCAAGTCGAAGCCGCAGGCATTCATCATCATCCTCATTCACTGCCCACCGCAAGACCGCAAAGCGTGCAACCCCATTCACAGCAAGTTTAGGCACTGTGGCTAAATGGGTCAACCAAGCCCACGATACCCCGCCTGGTAGGAGTTGTGAGCTTACTCTAGACTGTAGATATTGCAGTGCATGCACTTGGATGGCCTCGTAAAGACTGAGTTTCAACTGGCGGAGGAATTGGAAGTGTTTTTCCTGGTATTTTGTCCTGCAGTTATGCGTAACAAGTTGCCGACTGTGTCAATCCCGAGCAGGGGAATCCATGTTCGGAAGATGCGTTGGACAACCGCTCCTTGCCTTGTCCCTACATCCGGGTACCCCGGTGAGAGAAAGGCGGTAGAGCCATTCTGTCTAAGCCAATAACCCAAACACGCTGCAGTGAGTGTGACAGCTGGATCTAGTGCAGGAGCAATACCTAACCACCGAAATATGTGTGGGAGATACCTTGCGGCCAGCCATGGTCTGCCAAGGATAAGTTTAGCAGAGCGTTGTTGGTATAAATTAATGTCGTCCGGAGTAAAGCCAAAGTATGTACTTTGGTAAATATTAAGGGACAGAATAAAACAGTTATTGGCAAGGCTTCTTTGCACTACAGAGTGAGCAGGTGTGGCGAAAAGGGCAAGCCGATGGTTAGCCTTAGTCATGGCTTTGGGGTTAATGGCTTGGGTGCCTATAAGTTCCTCTACTGGGGTCCACCCCT